TGGCAGGTATATCATTCAAAAATATTTTCTGAGTTTATTAATGACAAAGACTCTGATTGACATTTAAAAAGGAAACATCAGGGCCGGGGATTTAGCTCAGTGGTTTCGCAGCCTGCTGCGCAAGCACAAGGACCCGAGTTCGATCCCTGGTACCAAAAAATAAAATAAAATAAAAAAATAAAAAGGAAACATCAGATACCTCAGCACCCCCACACACATATCACATTGACCATTCAAGCACAAGGCCCACAAGGGAGGTAGGACAAAAAGGTGCTGAATGTGACATACACAAGCATGTCTGGCAACGCTGCAGTAGGTGACTCCTATCTTCACAAAGATCTGTTAGACTCCCAAGTCTGGAATGGACCACATCACATGAATAATGGAACATTTGCAGCCGCCTAGACATTATTTCACAAGATCTGAAAGCTATAGGCATGTCATGTTCCTTTAAAAAAAAAAACTTCCCTCCCTACTTCCAGCTCCAAATCTCCTAAATCTTCTTGAATCCCAAAATTGAAAAACAATTTCGCAATTCTATGCTATCTATCCAATTGTTTAATGTCCCTTAGAAAGAATATCCTTGTGTCTTCCCTCACAAATAAGCCTGCCCAGCCAGAACCTCTATCCAAGTTCTAGCACCAAATACAGCAATTGGTCGCCTCTGGCCACTGGCTTGAACAGTGCTGTCCAGTGACAGCCACTTGCCACACATGACCACTTATTAAAATTAATTAAATCTAAGGGGCCAGGGATTCAGCTCAGTGGCACCGTACCTACCTTGCAAGTGCAAGGTCCTGAGTTCGATCCCCGGTGCTAGGAAAAAAAAAATTAAATCAAAAATTCTGTCCCTCAGATGCACTAGTGGAGAAATGAATGGCCATGTATGACTAGTGGTTACCACACAGGATAGGATAACTAAAGAACATCTCCATTATTGAGTCAAGTTCTATAGGACGGCACTGATGTTGAGATATTTCAGGACTACATCTTTTATCCTTATCAATACCGTGCAGGATGACAGAGAACCTTCACCACAGAACCAATCAAGAGCTTTGTACCCATGTGTCTTGAGGGCTTATCCTTTAAGAAACAGGTCATGTGGCAAATTTACAAATGATCTCACTAACGTGCAAATGAACAAGTGGACCAGCCTCAGAACTGAAAGGATAACTGAAAGACACTGAAACAGTCATTATGGGCTTCCATTCAGGAAGAATGCAAGCTGATGGAACTAGTTTATTAGATCCTCCAGCACAAATAACAGACACATAGAGGCACCACCTCAGCAAAGGTCTCTCCAGGTGAAAGAAGCTCATCTTGAAAAACAGAAACACAGTCTTTGTAAACAAGGAGGGGTGAAGGGGGTGAAGGGAGGGCAGGGGAAGGGGGAAAAAATAAGAACCAAGACATATCTTGTACAGGTACAAATTCCCAATGATGAATGTCATATTGTAAACCTAAAATATACCAATAAACTTAATAAAAACAATTTTTTTAAACTTAAGTGAAAAAAGAAAGCTAATCTCTACAATCCTTCCTTGGCAAGACAAAGTCCTCAAATTTAGTCTCTTGTTTCTAATTATTAAAGAAAACAACATTAGAAAAACAACTCTCAACTCACTGTATTTCCTACCAACCACTCTCATTAAATTATTTCACTGAAGTTGTAATAAGAAAGCTGGGTATGGTGGCATACACCTGTAATCCCAGCACTCTGGAGGCTGAGGCAGGAGGTTTGTTGTAAGTCTGAGGTCACCTTGGGCTACATAGTGAGTTCAAGGCCAGCCTAACAAGTGTATAGTGAGACCTTATCTCAGAAAATGAAAAAATTTTAAATTAAAAAGTTGAAGTAAGAGACCAGCTTTTATTAATAATGACCATCTGACAGCAGGCTACCTAGAAGTAGTCATTTAAAAGATTTCCAGGCCACAATATAAGCATGGATCAGAATATCACATGTGCCTCATAAGAATGTAATGTATACAATTATGGTCAATTAAAAATAAAATGATTTAAGACATTAAAATAAACAATTTCTATAAATCAAAAACCTAAAAAAATCTGAATATTACTCCAATTTGAGGAAGGAGCCTAGTGTTGGTTACTGTTGGACTGGAACAGCAAGGTGGAGCAACAGAGCTACAAAGAAGCAAAGTCACTGATCTGACCTTGGACTGTTACAAGCTGCAAGTTCTGTGCACACCGCATGTCTTCTTTCTCTTGTGGTTATGCACTGCTTTCCCTACTGTCCTCTTCTCCTCCCTCCCTCTGGCTTGCTCAGTGGACACCACTTGTATTGAACTTCACACCCAAGACAAGCCAAACTTTATGGCCACCAGCACTAGTCTCTGAAGTGGCAGACCCACATCAGAATGCCACCTTCACCCACTGCAACCCTCTGGAATCTTGGCAATCCCCTGACAGTGCCAGACTCAAACTGGTACACAGGTCAGACCCGGGCATCTCTCATTCGATGGTAGGAAAATGAATGGGAACTCTGCAGAGCTGGATGAGAAGCCGAAGAGAAGAGTTTTCCAATAAAAAATGCAAATTAATCTTCTGGGCACCAAGTGGGAAGAAATAAACACGTTCCTCTTAAGAGCCTATCAAAGTCATCTAATCTTGGATCAATGTTCCTCTCTCTCTCTCAGCATTCAACTCAATCACATCAATGAGATTTCTGAATCTCTTCTCAGCATTACTCACCTCTGCTTAAGGATCCCGGCCAGCTGGATTACTAATAACCCTGATGAGAGCCTTCCTTCCTTAACCATTTCCGATCCAGTAGCTCAGTCACTTTCTCCTTGGCAGGTCTTTCTCCAGCCTCTGCTCCTTTTTTTCACATCCTCCCCACAACATCTGCCAGAACCACCAAGCTGCCCCACACAGGTCAATCCCACTTCAATAAAGAGGCTGGAGTATCACCAGCTCCAAAAATACATCCTGGCCTCTAAAGACTATTGATGTGAGGACTGCTTTGCTCACATCAATGGGTCTTAGGCAGACTCCCCCTCATCATGATTTTCCCTGCACTAATGTCTCCCCCTCCTCTGCAAGGACTTAAATTCAATTTACCCCTGCCCAATTCAAACATCTCTGGGATGCCTTCCTTCCTGGGTGTGGCAACTTCCCTAACCAGACTGTCAGCTCCCCAGGGCGGGCCATGTCATACACTTTTCAGTGTCTCTAAAGAGCATTTCCAATACAGACTCTTATATAAAACCAACACTCCAAATACTAGACAAGTCACTAAAACTATGACTTCTATTCACACCCCTAAACTCATTATTCTAACAGTAGCGACTTGGACCACTAAGGTCATCCCACTTCAATATAGTTTGCAAAGCACTTAACATCTCTAGACCTCATTCCATCTTCTGTGAAACAGACGTAATATTAGTACCTACTCCACATGGTCCACAGGGTGGAGGAGATAATGGTAAAGCACTTAACACATAATGCTTCATACATAGCAGGCATTCAATAAAATATTGCCTTACTCCTCCTCCTCTTCCTCCTGTTATTAAGTCTCCTTAAGGGAACAATGCAGCATAGTAGAAATCATGTGTTTGGGATCTGTGTCCAGCTCTATTAAAATCCTAGCTATGGGACCGTGGGGAAATTATTCAATCACTCAGCACCAGTAGTCATGTGTCACTTAATGTGGGAGGTATCTTCTGAGAAATGCACCAGTAAGGTATTTCATCCCATGAGTGTACTAATATGAACTGAGGTGACTATGTCATCACTGGGCAATACTGTTTTGTTTTGGTACAATGCACACTGTGGTTGACCTGGTACCATAGGGCACACAACTATATTTAACTGTAAAAGGGGAATAATAATCTCAAAGCATTAGTCTAAGGATCAAATTAGGAAATGTACACAAAGTTCTCAACACATAGCTACTCAATTTGTGGCATTTACTAAAATATGACTTTAATTCAGTCAAAGCCACAACACAACTGCAAAGGGAAAATTCTCTTCCTGTTCTCACATCCCTTCCATCTCCTCCCAGTCAAATTCTCAAGGCCAGTCCCCAAACCAGGCCAGAGCCGTTTCAACTGACAATCTCCTGCCTGTCAGCAAAAGGTCCCAAAACTGAGAGTCCAAAAAATCACATTAAGAGATGTGAGACCCATCCCTCTAAGGGAAATACATGCACCTTTGCAGCAACCATTTCATCGGTCTCCAAATACTCATACCACAAATATTTTACACTTAACACTAGCAAGATCTTTCCTAAAAGGACGCACTGATACTACTGGTTCTTTTTTTTTTTCTTTTAACAAATCTGATTGAAACCACTCTAACAATCAAAAACAAAAAAAAGAGAGAGAGGGAAGCTCAAGTGAGAGAAAAAACCAGATTTGAAATAGATACTCAAACAAGTAGATAAAATGTTGATAACTCCATAAAAAGCAGCCTCAACCAGGATCATACTCTTAATGGGAAAAAAACAAAAATAAACTACTCTGGCAGACCAATTTGCAAGTTTTTGAAAACTCTGTAAGGGGAAGTCAGAACAGAAGAGATTCCAGAGGTTCCGACTCCCCCCATCCCAGGGGCCCCTGACTTCCACCTCCTCCAAGCTGGAGTTCAGGGCCCCAGGAGGCCGACCGAGGAACTCTTGGCTCCGGTCCCTCCACTGCAGATGGGGGCTGGAAGGCAAGTGGCCAGCATTCAGAAGTTAAATAAGTTACCAGGTAACAAAGTTCCCACCAGAAAAATGTATCTTCTAAGCCATGGTTTAACTCCACAAAGCTGAAAAATGACTTCACTTCCTTCTCAACACTCCCAAGCCCAACAGCCCAGGCGAGGTACAGGGCAAGCACTAGCTGGGCAGACAGGACTTTACCCCAGCCCTTCCCAGTCAGCTGAGGTAAAGACAGTCATTCCCTCCTGAAGGAGGGAAAGGGAGGCTTGTTGGAGCCCGTGGTGTGGAGAAGTCTGTCCTTCACAAGAGCCTGCAAACTTATAAAAAGCTACAGGCTTACCAATGGTCCCCCAAATCCACACAGCTCCCCGCCACCACACTTCCTCACCAACTTCCACAACTCCAGCTCTCCTCACTCCTGCCTCAGGACTGGCAGGTATTCTTTACTAAGTCCACCGGAGGCTCCTGGCAACGCCTACCCTGAAGGCCACGAGAAGTGTCAGGTGACACTAATGATCCCAGCAGAGCAGCAGCTGGCATTACTGGCTACCCATGAACCAATGAGCTCCTACTGTAGGAGCAACTTTTACCACAACCCTTTTCAGTAGTTAGGGGATTAATCTCATTTGCAGATTAAGAACTGAAGCACAGAGCTCAAGTAACCTGCACCCAGTCATCACAGCTGAGAGGTGAAGCACAGTGTTAAAGTAACTCACACAGTCACAGCCAAGAAGTGAAACCAGGATGTAAACTCACCTGTCCAACTGCAGCGCTCTCTGACCTGGCCACTCTGCCATTTGTCCTTCTGCTGACCACCCTGGGAGTGGAAATGCTCTCTTAAGCTCCACAAACCATCTTCAGGTGCTGGGGGAGCCTATTTAGACCAGCTGTGTTCACACAATGCTGGGCCTCATTCTTCCGGCCCCTCAACCTCCATGACAGCTGCATGTGGTCTCCTCACCACGATCCCACACGAGTGCCTCTCGAAAGCCAGGCTACAATGTACATGTCAGGAAGATGAGGCTTCCTTTCACCCCGGGCTGCACCACCACACTAATTGGGCAGAGGTGTTTCTTGATTAGTTTGTAAATCCACCCCCTCCCCTTTTAGGAAATATAGCAGCGTGGTGGCTCAGCAATCTGTATTTTCCCTCTCCAGATAACTCGGATGCAATTTAAGAACCACTCTTCTCCACAGCCATCATTTTCAGAGTTAGGAGAAAGATATTAGAGAATCTCTGAAAGAACTTTCAAAGAGATATGTCACAATAACAACAAACAAGACAGAGCCCAGGGCATCAAGAGTGAGGAAAGGAGCAGAGTTATTCTCAACACTGAGTCCTTATCCTCCCCCACAAACGTTTATTATGCAGATGGTTAAATTAGGTCATGTGAAAGTGCACTGTAAAACTGCAAAGCCCTCTTCAAATCTTTGCTGTTCACGTGTAGCTAGAAAGAACACAATTGTCTAACTCTGTGAGCTGGCATAAAGCATCAGCCACCTTTCTGTTTAAGCAACCTTGTCATCCTTCCAATGAGTTAACATTCCCACCTCCAGAGACTCATTGAAAAAGATGAGGGGAAGGGAGCAGGAGGAAGAAAGGAATCCTAGAGACTTTTACAGGACACTATGATGGGAATACGGGCTTTCCCTAACTTAGTCTTACATAAAAGCACAACACCTCCATTGAAACCAAGAAATTAACACTGGCATGATACAGACTTTATTTAGATTCAAGTCTTCACCAGTATTTTATCTCCCCTAAACCCCTTTGAGGTAGGCACCATTCTAATTCCTACAAGAAGGAAGTTGCTGAGGCCTAATACCATATGACTCAGTCACTTGCTCATTGTGAAATAGCACAGACTAGCAAAGCTTGGATTTGAACTCAGTTCCACCATACCTGGAGGCTCTATTTTACCTCTGCACAGTAAGCTTCTCTAGATGTTGCCATCCCCATTTTAAGGAACAAGAAAACCTGACACAAAGCTATTTACCTGGAGGCACACTTCCAGCATCAAAGCTAGACATGTATCACAGCCTAGATCAATGCCACAATGCAGTGACATCATCAGCTTCCTCTGTGACACATGGAATAAGGAACCCCATGAAGTCCATGAAGAGCTCTTGACAACCAGGAAGGATGTCATAGAGGCTGGTTGGGAGGGAGAGGATCACATGCCTGGAGACAACCTATCTTAGGGCCACTGGCAAGCCTAAGAGCTCTCATGCGGGAAGAAAGAGTCCTTAACAAGAATTTTTAGAGGAACACATTGCCATCAATGGCCACCAGGATCCTTGCTTTGGATTTTACAGCATGGTTATAAGGAGCACCTTAAAAACATTCTCCTTCCAGGGGATTCTGTACCTCAATCCTTTCTAGACCCCAATTTTACCATTTGAACAACATAAGAAGTGGGGGAAAGCTCTCCCCACTCTGGGGAGCTCACACAGAATGCCACAGGCTGAGTGGGAAGAAGGAAAAGACAAGTTCACAAGCTCACATGGTGGCCTACAAAAAACCACATGTGTGGTTTTTCTCCACCTTTTACTCTATTTCCTGGTTGGCATTCCAAAAGCTAGCAGGACACAGGGCAAGACACTTTGTATTGTTAGAATAATTCTTTTGTTCTTTCTTCTTAATAATTGGTTTTCACTGTGCGTTCTCCAGACCAGAAGCATGGTATCTTCGGGGACTCATTAGAAATGCAATTTCTTGGGCTGCTCCCCAGGTGTACAATACATCATGAACTCTAGGCATAGGCTCAGCAAGTCGTGTTTTGACAAGCATTTCAGGTGTTTCTGATGCCTGGCATAGTGTGAGAACCTCTTACTCATGGCTGACCTGTGACATAGAAATGTATTCAGAACGGTCCCTCTGCAAATAAACACTATAGTTCATGCGTCTATGTGCTCAGCCAGAAGGGGGTGGAATCCATTCATCACACAGAGGGTAGTGCAGCCCTGGCTCATGCTATTCATGGGCTTCATGGAGCTGGCAGTGCAGGAGAGACTAAAGATTCCAACCCAAAAAACCTACAAATAAATATACAACTACAGACTGTGGCAAACACTCAAAGAATGTTGAGGAGAATACAGTGGAGAATGTTGAGAATCAACTTTCACCTCAGGGGCCAAGGAGCCTCGCTATGGAAAGGTCAGTTAATCTAAAATATGAAAGAGAAGCAGAAGTTAGCCAGGGAAAGAGGGAAGTAAAGACTCTCAGTCCAGGCAAAGCTTGTGCAAACGCCACATAGCAAGAATGAGCTTGGTGGTTTGGAGGCAATGTTGTTAAGAAGCCAGGTTGCATCAGGTATGGTGGTGCACATGTGTAGTCCCAGCATTCTGGGAGGCTGAGGCAGGAGGATTACAAGATCGTGTCCTGCCTGGGCAACTTGGCAAGATCTTATCTCAAAAAAAAAAAAAATGCAGGGAGGGCTAGGGATCTAGCTTAGTGCAAAGGCCCTGGGTTCAATCTCCAGTACTACAAAAAAGAAGAGGAAGAGGAAAAAGAGGAGGAAGGAGGAGGAAGAGGAGGGGCCACATCAGCAGAAGAGACAGGGTAGCTAAAAAAGAGAAGGAGGCAGAAGTTGCAAAGAATAAGCTGGAGACAGCACCTGGCCTTGTCACACGCAAAGGCCACGCAGATGTGATTAGGTCTATGTTAGAAACTAAGCTTAATAAGGATACTTCCAAATTTTAGACACAATACTGACAATAATAAGTAAGGCCCAGGCAAGTAGCTCAGTGGTAGAGTACTTGCTTAGCATGTGTGAGGTCATAGTTTTGACTCATCATGCTACAAAAAGAACAAAAGTAGTATTTTTTCAGTACTTCCTACATGCCAGGCTCTGTCCTCAGTATCCCCCCCCCAAAAAAAACTACAACAACCAGGAAGTAGGTTCCATTATTATCATCCCCCCATTTTATAGATGAAGACAGAAGCCAATTAAGTTGATCAGGTCAACAAGGTAGTAGAGGACTGGAACAGAGTCACATCAACTTCAAAATCCAAGCTCTAGGCCTCAGCGCTCTGCAGGAGAGTGAAGAAGCAGACAGGGGCAGTGGTCTGGTTTGCATTTCCAAGCCACTGAGGGTGCAGAAAGGAAGAGGGAGTAGCAACAGAGACCACTGCGTCTTCTAGGCAAAAGATGGCAGTGCCCAGGCCAAGGTGGTGATAGGCAAGCAACAGAAGTGCCTGGGTAGCAGAGAAGAGTAGACTGTGCCACGGGCTGCTTAACGCATTCTAAGGCCCCTGACCATGGACAAAAAGGAGACCTTAACCACTCCCTCCATCTTTCTGGAGAACAGGAATAAGGACTCAAAAGAGCTCTTATCCTGTAGGGCCAACCCAAAACAGCACTGTAACTGTGACAGAAACATCGACAACTTGGCCTCTGTGCTTTAAGCAGTGCTATACCGCTGCAGAGCATCTGGAGGAAAGTCTGCTCTTTATGTAGAACAGATGCCCTTTCGACCAGAAAAGGTCACAGGCAGCTCTCAAAGCACTGACCAAAGTGAAACTTACATGGAACAAGATACTTCTAGCCTGTATTTTAACAAGCACTTTCTCTTTAATTACCTTGACTGCCTCACAGCTCTTTATGGGGAGGAAGATAGCACATTTGTCAGAATGGCCTGAATTCCTAGGAAAGTCTTACCTTTGGTAAAGTGGTGTTGGGAGAGTCCAGGTATTAAACTATTTCCTTGGGTTAGATTTGGAGTATAAGTATGGTGTGTATCACCTGATTTTAAATAAAAAGTGTGTGTGTGCACGTTGAGAGGGGATGGAGCTCCACCCCACTCATCCTGCAGAGAAGAATCAATGCTGCTAGCAGATGTGTGCTAGAGGTGTGGACACATCAACCTATCAATGGAGCCACTGGACCTAATCAGCTAACAGCAATACCCATGGCTGGGTTGTCCCCCTCCCCAAGATGACCCATGCATGGTTAGTCATAGCATGGACAGGCCAGGTGTGAAGCCAGCGGGCTCCAGAGAACATGGAGGTAGAAGGTAGGCAGGAGTCCAACTTTCTTCTATATGGAAGTCACAGTCCCACTTATACTACAGTTGTGACTAAGGCCACCTGGATTTTGGAGATCTGAAAGGGTTCATCATAAAAGGTTATGGAAGCGGGCAAAGTACCCTCTGAAACTCTCTCCTGACTGTCCATTTTCCCACCACTCATCTCTCCCATGTTCCCCTTTCTTGCATTCACTGCCTTAATTGACCACAAAGTCTCTGCTGTACACTGAAATTGTGAAAACGTGAATAAATGTTCTGTCTTTCCCTTGTTTACATAAGTACTAAAATAAATATCTCTTGTTAAAGCTCTGGGTCTTTTTTCCCCAATAGGATACAAAAGCCTTAAAAAGGGCAGTGACAGGCCTGTCCCTTCCCCCCCTGGAAGGGGTCGGGAAACCTCTAACACTGTGAGGGA